CCACCGAACTGCTGAGCTAAATCCCTGGCCCTCTGATTATATTTCTAAAGCTGTAAAAAACAATCACTATGTCCAAAACTGCACAGAGATCTTGAATAGATATTTTCCTGGAGAGGACATACATAGAAATAGCCAACAACTCATCAGTACCATTAGTCATTAAGTAATTAGATGCAAATAAAGCTGGGTGCTATGGTGCACTGGGAAGGCTGAGGCAGAAGGAATGTCAAATTCAAGTCCCAAGTATAAGTAATTTAAAGAACAAAATGAAAGATAGACAATAGGAAATAGGGAGATAGATATTTTGCAAGTGTACACAGACCAAGAGATAGAGGAAGTGGGAAGGGAGAGGAGGAGAGGGGATCCGGATGGAAAAAGAACTCAGATGTATTATATACATGTACCAGCTCCCCACCATGAATGTAAATCAGTTTGTATTGCAACATGTACTAATAAAAATTTAAAAATTTAGGGCCAGGGATTTAGCTCAGTGGTTCCATTGCTTACCTCACAAGCATAAGGACCAGAGCTCAATCTCTGGTATCCCCCAAAAAAATTTTTTTAAATTTTAAAAAATATCTGGTCAAGGTAGCGCATACCTATAACCCTAGCATTCATTAGGCTGAGGCCGGAAGATTGCTGGGAGTTCAAGGCCAGCCTGGCCTACACAGTGAGTTCAGAGGCCCTGGATTCAGTTGTGTGTGTGTGTGTGTGTGTGTGTGTGTGTGTGTGTGTATCAAAACCGACCAAAATACTAGAGATGGAGGGAGAGGTATGGCAAAGGAGGGAAGGAGAAATAAAAAAGAGTAAGATGTGCCGGGCATGGTGGTGCAACCTGTAATCCCAGCATTCAGGAGGCTGAGGCAGGAGGATGCTGTGAGTTTGAGAGCAGCCTGGGCTACATGGTGAGTGACAGGTCAGTCTCAACTACATAGTGAGACCCTGCCTCAAAAAAACAAAAAAACAAAAACAAAACCAATAAGATGTGATATTAAGTCCCCACAGTGAATGTATCCATGATGTGTTTATCTAGTGTGTATTACAAACATGTACTACTAATAAATAAATCACAGCTGGGCATGGTGGTGCATGCCTGTAATCTTAGCATTTTGGGGGCTGAGACAGGAGAATCACTGCAAGTTTAAGACCAGCCTGCGCTCTATAGTGAATTGAAGGCCAGTCTGAGCTACATAGTGAGACTCTCAGAACAAAACAAAAACAATAATAATTTAAAAATCACAATAAATTTGAAAAACCCCAGAAAATAACAAGTATTGGCGAGGATATAGAGAAATAGGAATATCACAAGTAAAAAAAAATGTAATGGAGTATGAGAACATAACATGAGGGCAGGGGCATGGCATACTGGTAGAGCACTGGCCTAGCATATGTGAGGCCCTGGGTTCAATCCCTAGCACCACCAAAAAAAAAAAAAGAGAGAGATAACATGGCGTAGCTGCTGTGGGAAACTTTGGCACTTCCTTAGGCAGGTGAGTACAGAGCTAGCACAGGATCCAGCAGTCCCATTCCTATGTAGACAGCCAGATGCATGTGAGGCTCCATCTGGGAAGCCAGGGTTCCTACAGTGTTACCGACAGTAGTAAAAAGGTGGAAACAATGCAGATGTACACCAGTGGGTAAATAACAGCGGAATATTAACCAGCTGAAAAGAATGAAGTTCTGAAGTATGCTGTGACATGGATGAACCTCAAAGACAGTTTGCTAAGTGAAGTAAGCCAGACATAAAAGGACAAAAATGTTATTCTAGTTATATGAAATATCTCCCCGAAAATACACAAGAATGCCAGGAGAAATGAAGAGTTCCTGCTTAATGGGCATAGAATTTCTGTTAGAGATGATGAAAACATTCTGGGAATAAATAATGGTGATGCTTTTATAATATAAGGTTTTTTAATGATCACTGAATTAAAAATGTTTTAAATACTAAATTTTATGTTATATATTTTTAAAATTATTTGGAGCATGGTGGCACATGCTTGTAATTCCAGCACTTGGGAGGCTGAGGCAAGGGGATCTCTGTGAGTTCAAAGCCAGCCAAAAATTACATAGCAAGAAGACCCTGTCTCCAAAAAAACCATTATGCAGAAGCAGTGCTTACATTTCCTGACTGTGACCTGAACATCTTAATTTCAGTTTCTACAGTGGTAAAATGAGTATACCATACTCATTGCGGGTTATTGGAATGGAATTAGACATTCCTTTTCTCAACAAAACAAAACAAAAGAATTATTACAGTTTATGGTATTGAGGACTGAATCCAGGGCCTTTGTGCTGAGCTACAAAACCCAAACCACTTTTTTATTTTTAATTTTGAGCCCAGAGTCTTACTAAGTTACTGAGATGCCCGGCTGGTCCAAACTTGGGATCCTTCTGTCTCAGCCTCCCAGTGTGCTGGGATTACAGACAAGGGCCACCATGCCTATTTTAACTTGTATTTATTTAACAAGTGCCAAGAAAATTAGGGGCTATATCAGATGAATTAAAAGACCAGTCATTCATTTTCCTACAGTTGGGTTCAGTGGTAGAATATGTACTTAATATTTGAGGCTCTGGGTTTGAGCTCTAATATCATATCGTACATACACACAAACAGGACCAAAAATTCTTTTTTAGGGGGGGTACTGGGGATCAAACTTAGGACCTTGTGCTTGTAAGGCCGGCAGCAGCACCACTGAGCTCAATCCTGGGCCTGAAAAATTATTTTCTTATTTAAAAGACTACATGACTTATTTAATAACTAAATCTTGCTTATTCTTGGAAAGGCATCTTTCTGCCCTGCTCGCGGCATTTCTCCTCTAATTAGTTACAGTGCTGAGGGTCTGCTAGGATATGTTGAGGTGCTCAGCAGCATGTGTTTGCAAAACACATTGAAAGTTTCTATTACAGCATTAGATGGCCTGCCGAGTTGAAGAGAAGAGCACTAATTGTAAAGGGAGAGAATGGTGCTTGCTTTTTGTTTTCAGCACTGGAGATTGAACTCAGGGCCCTTTTAAAAATTTTATTCAGAGAGGTTCTCATTAAGTCATCCAGGCTGGGCTTGTACTTAGGGATCTTTCTGTGTCAGCCTCCCAAGTGCTGAAATTACAGGTATGAGCCACCATACCCAGAGGGAATATGTTTGATTATATGAAGTTAAAAACTTGTGCCCACTGAAATACACCTTTAAAGCAAATGGAGCTGGGGATTTAGCTTAGTGGCATTGTGCCTGCCTCGCAAGGGCTAGGTCCTGAGTTCAATCACCAGTACTGGGGAGTGCGGCGGGGGGGTGTAAAGCAAATGGGGACATAAAGATATTTAGAATATATATATAACTGACAAAGGATTAGTTCACATAATATATGAAAATTAAAAGACTATATAGCATGTGTTTCTGTATACATATATAAAACTTGTGCAAGTCAGTAAGAAAAAGACAAATAATTTAATAGAAAAACGGGTAGAGAGAAAAAAAATAACCAGGAGTGGGGATTTAGTTCAGTGGCACAGTGCCTGCCTGGCAAGCATGAGGTTCTGAGTTCAATCCCTAGTACAAAAAAAAAAAAATCAAAGACTGATTTTTTTGAGAAGAACAGTGCCATTGGTAAATTGATCTGGCAAAAGAAGACTAAACTTCTAGTCACAGAAATGCTAAGAGGCATCATCACTGTAGCCCACTATAGTTAGCAGGTTAATATTCTGAAGAGCTCTAGTCCAGTAAGTATTTTACAACTCAGTTGACGCATTACTTTTTTTTAGTATTGCAAACTGAACCCAGGACCTTGAGCATGCCAACGCTAACAAGCATAACAAGCATTCTATCACTGAGGAATATCTCCAGCTCCTTTTTTTTTTTTTTGGTTTTTTTT